CACACACACACACACACACACACACACACACACACACACACACACACACACACACATTTTGTATAAAAATGGTCAAAACAGAGCTTGGCCATTGTCTTTAACATATGAATATGGTGATTTATCTTTTTCATACAAAATTGGAGTTATAATATTGGTTTAACAGTACTATAAGCAGAGCTTTGTCAGCTGACATGAGAAATGTCATGTAATTAATATATCCTTATTTTCTTATTATATTGTTTTATGTACTTTAATAATGAAAGTTTGTAGAGCAAGGCCACTTTTGACTCATAAGCTAAGTGGCCAGCCAGACTGAAAACAGGAAGTGTAGAGCTGTACAGTATATTAATAAATACAGGAAACCAGACAGAAAAGAGGAACTTTGCCATATAAGCAATGATTGTATTGAAACTGTGAAGTGTAAAGTACCATAATAATACCTATATGAGACACAGTTTATGATTCTAATGTGAGAGATCCTGCAACTGGCGTTTGGGCTGTGCAGGGGTCTCTCTCTTCCGGAAGATGATTGAATAAAAAGAAATATAAATGTTTTAACACACTATGAATCGGTTTTCTCTGTTCTATCATGGGGACAAAAGAATCAGGGTTTAAAAGAGACTAACAACAAAAATACAGAAATGAAAACGGCTTTATCAGGATTTCACGGTAGTTTCAATTACATTTTACTGTCACTGGGCACTTTGTTAGGAATACCAGTTCAACTGGTTACCTTGGGAGAGTTTAAATCCATCTTAACGGAATGAGAGAATAATTCTTTTAGTTAGTGTGATTGTTTTTAATGTCGCTCTTACTTCATTTGTTATTGTATATTTTTCACATGTCTGTACAGGATATTATGGTAAATGGTAAATGGCCTGCATTTGTATAGCGCTTTACTCAGTCTCTAAGGACCCCAAAGCGCTTTACACTACATTCAGTCATTCACCCATTCACACACACATTCACACACAGGCAATGGCAAGCTACGTTGTAGCCACAGCAGCCCTGGGGCGCACTGACAGAGGCGAGGCGACCGGGCCCTCTGACCACCGCCAGTAGGCAAACATGGGGTTAGTATCTTGCCCAAGGATATTTGGCATGCAGCGAGGAGGGAGCGTGGAATCGAACCAATCTTCTGATTAGTGGCTGACCTGCTCTGCCACCTGAGCTACAGTCATAATGAGCTATAATATACATATTATATTGTATAAGGACTAATAATAATTATGGGGATGTTCCTAAACGCAAATGTTTAATTGGCCAGTTATATACAGCAACTCAACTGCTATTGCACCTAGGCATGTAGACATGGTCAAGATGACCTACTGAAGTTCGAGCATCAGAGTGAGGAAAAAAGACGATTTGCATAACTTTGAATGTGGCATGGTTGTTGGTGCCAGACGCCCTGATCTGAAACTGCTGATCTTCTGGGATTTTCTCACACTAGGGTTTATAAAGAATAATATCTTGTCTGTTCCCTGGGTTAAAATGCCTGGTTGATGCCTAGGTTTGGTAGTGAATTGCTTTGAATGGAAAGAAAGGCATCAGTAATTCAAAAGTGATACTTTTGTAATTCACACAGGCTCACCAAAATTGGACAATAGAAGATTGGAAATATGCTCTTTGGTCTGATAAGTCTCAATTCTGCTCTGAGATTTGGACAGTAGGGTCAGAATGTGGTATGAAAGACTGGATTCACCCAGTTCAGGCTGCTGGTATAATGGTATGGGAGATGTTTTCATGGCTGTCTTTGGGCCTCTTTGTACTAAATTCTACTAAATTGAGCATTGTTTAAACACCACAGCCCATCTGAGTATTGTTGCTAACTGTGTCCATCCCTTTATGACCAGTGTACCCATCCTGTAACGGCTGCTTTCAGCAAGATGACACACCATGCCACAAAGCTCAAATCATCTGAAACTGCTTTTTTGGACACAACAATGAGTTTGCTGTCCTCAAACACCCTCCACAATCACCAGATCTTAATGCAACAGAGCATCTTTGAGATGCAGTGGAACGGTAGATTGATATCATGGACGTGCAGCCAACAAATCTGCAGATGCTAACTGTGATAGAATCATGTGGATATGGGCCAAAATCTCACAGGAATGTTTCCAGGAGCTTGTTGAGGGCTGTGCCATGAAAAATTAATGCAATTCTGTAAGAAAAAGGGGTCCAACAAAGTAGTAGCGAGTGTGCGATTGTGTGAAGACTCTTGTGGCTAACAACATGTGATTTACTCAGAGTGGAGTTAGTGAATTATTTTCTACCTAGAGTTACTTTTGCTGTCAGACAGGTGGCTGAATCTAGATTTAACTGTAACAGCTTGATTTAAGCGAGCAACCATATGACTCAGTGAAACAGATAAGTAACATAGACTATAAAAACTACTGTACTATAAAATGAGGCATGTAGGCAGATCAGCGATTTTGTTTTCTGTGATTTAGCTTTGAGCCAACTTCAGCTTTTGTGACTCTGCAAACCTCTTCCATGTACAAAATATTTCTAAACTGAAAAAGGGACTATTAACCCTCTGTCTCTACAACAGGTCTGGATTACAAATTACAACTGCGGTTCCAGCTGTGTATAAAACGTCCAGAGCAACAGAGTATTTTTTAAAATCATTTTCAATGAAAAAACTAAAGAAGCAAACAAGAAGCTCTCTGAGAGCGCACGCCCCCCTCAAAGGCTGCGTACTCAGCAGCATGACAAAGGTGTACTTTGATTACACAAACATTATTTAGAAGTGGGTAATGGATAACATGTATTGATTTTTAAATAAATGGACATGAGTAACTTGAGTTTACACACGGCTTAAAAGAATTAAATGAACTATTTTTAATCAGAGGATAGCATTAAGTCAGTTAAAATACTGGGACACCGATCTGATCGTTTATGTAGCAGTTTTAGCTGCTTTGGTGTTCATGAAATGACAGTAACAGCAGGTGCACAAGAGATGAAACAATGAGACAACCACCAAGACAGGACTGCTTTTACAGATGGCGACCACTGAAAGATTTTTCACTAGATTTTGTATTTGGCTAGGGTCAGTATGAGGGTATACCTGGACACTGCATAGGTTGCACAGGTAGTCCAAGTCCTCCAGGAGAGCACATCAACATGTAGCAGAAGGTTTGCTATGTTTCAACAGCGTGCTCCTGGAATTTACATGTACATCTCTCCTAAAGTAATTTTGCAGGGTCAAAGAAAGTCCTTAACCCATCAGCAGGACTGGTATGTGCTCCTTTCTGCAAAGAGGAGCAAGATGAGCACTGCCAGAGACCTACAAGATGACCTCTGTCAGGCCATTGTCGTAATTGTCTATGACCAAAAAATCAGTAGCAGACTTCATGAGGGTGGCCCGTGGACGGGATGTCCTTTGGGCCCTGTGCTCACTGCCCAGCGCCATTGAGCCTGATTGAGTTTGCAATAGAATAAGAAAATTGGCAGGTCCATCTCTGTTGCCCTGTGCTTTTCACAGATGAGAGCAGGGTTACTCTGAGCACATGTGACAGATGTGAAAGAGTTCGGAGAAGTTATGGAGAACGTTATGGTGCCTGTAACATCGTTCAGCATGATCGGTTTGGCAGTGGGTCAGCGATGGTCTGCAAAAGCATATCCATGGAGGGACGCACACAGATCTCTACAGGTGAGACAACGGCCCCCTAACGTCCATTATCGGAGTGAAATCCTTGGACCCACTGTCAGACCCTAAGCTGGTGCAGTGGGTCCTGGATTCCTCCTGGTGTACGACAATGCCTGGCCTTATGTAGCAATAGTACATTATGTTTCGGTCTAAACGACGCCTCCAGGTCCCAGCTGAAGCTGTGCAGGAGCTCAGTGATACTCTGGTCCAGATTTAGGAAGTAGATTCTCCAGAGCACCATCTTTCATCTCATTAGGAGCATGCCCCAATTAAAACAAAAATCCAAAAATCTAAACTAGATGTTCAGGCATGTAGACAAACTCGTGGGGGCCATTCAGACAACTGAGTACCATATTAAGTTGTTGCTTTAAAATTTGTGGGAAATCTGATGCATAATTTTTTTAATGGTGTCCTTGATGGGGTAATAATTTGATTGCTTCTATTTCTGTTTCAGAAGCCCAATTTTAATGAACCGTTAACGCAGCCCTGCTCTACACCATAGAGGATTCTAGTTGCCCAACAGTCCTTCTTTCATGTATTTTCTATTTCATGATGTGCCAGATGTTTTC